GACAACCTGGCAACTTGAAGATGTGTGGACTTCAACTCCCAGAATTCCCCAGCCAGCATGGCTGGCTAGGGGATTCCTGGAGGTTAAGGCCACACATCTTCAAGTTGCCAAGTCTGAGAAACACTTGACTAGATGATCTATCTGAACGTTCCAACCTGATGAGACTCTCTGAATTCACAGAAATTCTGAAAGAACCTAGCTTGGATTGCTTTTTGTCTCCTTCACATCAAAGATTCTCTGCCTATGTGAAGCTCGAATCAATCTGAATATAGATTTCTCAGCCCACTGATTGTCACTAATAATATCCTACCTGGAACCCATTTACAGCTGTTCAGTGAATATAACCCTGAATGGTATGATTAAGAAACAAGGGAGGAAGCAAACCGAGGCCCTTATGTTTGGTTGAGGAATATCTAGCGCTGATCACACAAATGTAGCAGAATTTGCCTTTTCTGACCATGTTGTCACTATTCTTTTCAAAAAGAGGCTCCAACCTTTTGAGATTAAACAATGGCTTGTTTCTCCATCTAAAAGCAACAGTAAGCCTATTGTAGAATCAATGTATTTCGTTTCGGTTCTTTTAAAAAATAATATTTGTTTAATCTATGCCTATAAAGACAAAAAGGACTGTGGAAGTTACACAGATAGTTAACAAAGGTGCGGGGGGGGGACTGTTTGTTCTTTTTTAATAAACACAAGATGGCAACAGAGAGTCATTTTCATCCCCTTTATTAATATAGAATGGAAAGATCAGCTAGGGAGACATAACTGAACAACTTTATATGTGGGGCAGCAGTTCATATTTCTCTATTAAGAGAAGGAAGGAAAAGAGCATTTTATGATCTGCAGAAAGTTTGGAGGATTTATGGATAGCAAAGTGTCATTGTTGCAGAGGGTTCATCCAGGCCTCCAGAACAGTTACAACTACAATTCCCATCCAGCACAACTGAGGGCAGCAAGTTGGGGAAGACCGGATTAATCTGCTGGCTACTAAATGAGTGCATTGGCTGTGGTCAACAGTCTCAGAGTTACTCAGTACAAACTCAGTTTCTTTGGATATCTTGAGTGAGACGGTAGGTGGGTGTGTGGGGGAGTGCTGCCCCAGGGCACCATGACTTTTTTTTTATTGAGTTTTTATTGAGTTTTTATTCTGATTGTTGGGGGGGGCGTGTTTACTGTTTTGTGAGCTGCCCAGGGTTTGGTTACAACAGGGACAGCTATATAAGTCTTCTAAAAATGAATAAATTAAAAATACGGATGCAGCCTTGTAAATAAGCCCACAGACAGTCAAAACCCCCAAGAGGCTAGCAATCTATGATTCTGTGTCGGATATGGCAGAGAAATCCTTTATTTGAGACCAGCATGTAAATCTTCGCAATTTAGCTTAAAAAAAAATGGGCAGGCCGCCTGTGAACTGGCTGGGTCCATTAAGATTAGTTTAGATTCAACTCTGACCTGATACAAAACAGAACAGAACATATTGCAAGGAAGATACCATTATTCCCCATAACATGAGTAAATCTGACTTTTGATCAACACCAACTTCCTGGCAGAGGCCTACCTGTTTCATTTTCAAGATGGGCAGAGCTGTCTTCCACAACTTCACAAAGCAACACAGAAAGGAGACAAAATACTCTGCCCTGTTTTTGTTGGTCTGTTCACTTGTGCGCAATGAAATTCATGGTTACCAAATGAGTTATTAAGCTATAAAGCAGCATTTGCATAGCTTTGCATAGGTTATAATAAATGGAAGATTAAGGAAATTGCATTTTTAGAGCACTTGACCCAGGAGAGATAGTAAGACCAAGAGAAGATGGTGTTGTCATTCGTTCACAGATACATAACTTGGAAATAACCCCATAAAGTCATACAAACATAAATCAGTCTAAAGCCACTATATATAAAAACAGAAAAGCATAGCAGTACAGAACGCACATCCTCTTGATGGAAGAGGATAGTCTTAACCTCTTTGTGAAAGGATAACAGGAAGGTGTCATTCTAATCTTGGGAGGGAGAGTATTACACAGGGCAGGGGTGGCCACCAAGAAAATCTGTCTTGAGCCACCACCTGCCTGACCTTAAAAAGGGGGATGAGAAGCATGCTGTCCCAAACCTAACACACAGGAGACTCAGAAGACAGTCCAAAAGATAATTAGACCCCAGCCATAAAGGTCACTGAATTGTACCTGATGCCAAAACATGGGAAACCATTTCATGAATCAAGGCCAAACAGAAGAAAGCAAATGCCCTGATCTTACATAGCTGTAAAATAAAAAGCCATTTCCTTTTTAATTACTTGTAGCATCTTCATTGCATCAGTTAGAAGTGATATAAAGCTTGTCCTCATTACTTGTGCTCCAACAGATGGAAGTGGGACATCTCTCTATAGAGCAGTGTTTCTCAATCTCTTGCACACTTCAAGAGTGTCTAGATGCTTGCTTGGAAGCTCATCAAGTCTAAAGGCGTTATTATTATCACACTTGTGAAACATTTCATATGATCAGCAATGTTATGTCCTTTGTGCCTGAGGCAGAGTCAACTTAGTGGCTGTTTCATTCAATATCATGATCATTGCTGTGGTGGTAAATTCCTGTTCTTGGCAGATGGTTGGACTATATCAGTGTTTCTCAACCTTATCTACTTTAAGATATGTGGGCTTCAACTCCCAGAATTCCCCAGCCAGCGTGGAAATGAGCCCTCCAATCAAATTCAGCAGGAATAAACCAGGACAAAAGCCCCAGGATAGGAAAATACCAGTTTTAATCATGGCTACACCCATTAGAATAATGGGATTTGGTTATATGGATTCCCAGGGTGGGTGTTTGTGTTCTCAAGTATCTGCAGCAGAGTGATCAAAATGCTGATGAGTTGCTTTATCTCATCAATCCTATGCTTCAACAGCTCACTCACAACTTATTTTCTCTGAAGTAAACCCTTTTGATTTCGATAGAATTACTTTTCAAAACTTCATGCTAAGGATCCCAACTCTATTTTAATTTTCAGATTACAGTTAAAATACATCCACCCACTCCCACCCACAGACATGTATAATATATAATATGAAATATTTTTCTTTCAAATGACTCTATTAAATGCAAGAGAAGAAATGTACAAGTTTGTTGTTTGCAAGTTTCTTGCTCTTACTCTGATTCAAAAAATGTATATAGAAAATATTACACTTATTCAAGGTACGTTATATAATTACATAACAAGGTATTAACCATCTGCCAAAAATACACTAAAAACTGATTAAATGCTAAATCACAGTTTGTATAATCTACTTATATTTTTAAAAATTGTGAGATATCCTGCCTAGCTAGGTGACAGCTGCCAACCGGTCTTGGTTGATCTCAAAAAGTTAAGCAGGATAGGATCTTGATGGGAGATCACCAGGAAATTCCAGAATTGTTGGGTAAAATATAAATTCCAGAAGATAGCAATGGTAAATCACATCCATACTTTTGCCAAGAAAATCACACAGACATGGCCATGAAGTCACCAAGCCTCAAACTCAACTCAAAAGAGATTTTACTTTGCTATAAGACACTGTAAGATAAACATCAAACTACCTTTCTAGGCTCCCATCTCAGGAACAATAGGAGGTATCAAATCTTCCCCTCCAAAATCAGAGAGGGCTGTAAATCTGAAGGGGAAAATCCATCGTCAAATAGCTCTGTTGGGCTTCTTAAGAGTTGTCTATGGGGTTCAAGATGATGCAGCACTGGAAAGAATCAAGAAGAAACATGATTGGAAGGGCAATGAATCTGAATATCCTTTTAGGCCCCAGAACAATTGGTAAGGAATTAATATAGATAAATTCCCTCCCACTGCTTACAATGGAAAGGAAATACTTACAAAGAAGAGAAGCCATGAAGAGGAGGGAAAACATTATTTCTGCTCACTGTTGGAAGGATGCAATACCGTTACAATAATTTGATTCTGATTCTGAAATCTATCAAAGATCTGGCAGGCCTTTCTTGCAATCTGCTATTTGGATGACAGAAAGGAGTTTCAGAATTTGAATGAGACAGAAATGAGACAGAAAGACAAAGCATGGTGGGAAAAGGATGAGAAAGGGGCTACCCAAAAAGGGTCTATCCGCTTTAACCAGGATCCTTCTCTAGCTCTATTCAGCCTCACCCACTAGGCAGCCTGAAGGAATGCAACATTTGAGAGAGAGAGAGAGGAAAAAAATGCTTGTTTCTGGTTTAATAGACAGTGTGTCAACATTAGTTCTTGGTACCTCTTACCCCGATGCGCTGACAATTGTTGCAGCAGTTCTGTCTTAATGAAGAGGTCTGCTGTGAATGTTTCTGGCTAGTTATTTTTTGTAACATTTTTATTTTCTTTTAGTTTAAATAATTAAAAAATATTCCAGCAGCTCATTTTGTCATATCATTTGTTTTACATCTATACACCTATAGATGAGCTAGAGAAGGATCCTGGTTAAAGCGGATAGACCCTTTTGAGACAAGACTACACTGCATAGCCTATAATTTAACAATTCATAACAAAACAATTTTGCATATGTATTTATTAACCTGCAAAAGTAAATGAAGCTTACATACATTTAAGTTCCACTGAATTGGAGCATAATCCAGAAGAGGAAAAAGTATACATGACCTCTGACTTTATCTAACTGCAAGGCTATGTTTTTCATTTCATTTATTTATGTTTAATTACTTATTAATCAGACTTATATCCTGTTGTAATCATGAAAGACTCTAAGTGGTTCAAAATAAGGAACAGAACTCAATAAGGTTCCTTACTAAGAACTTTGAATCCAGCCCTGTGTCTTAAATCAAGAAGTAACAGAAATAATAAATATAGGTACAGATCCCAACATTCAGCTTTTTAGGTGCAATGTTCTAGAGTGGTTTTTTTTAATTGAAGCATGCATTTGGTCTTGAGATTTGTTGTTCAAATCTGAAAGAGTTTCTCATTTTGGATATCCAATACATAACTCTTGACTTTGTTCCTCTCTCTCTTTTCTTTTTCAGGCAATGTCTTTGTGGTTAGCCTGGCACTGGCAGATTTAGTAGTGGCCTTGTACCCTTATCCTTTAATCCTTGTTGCTCTTTTTCACAATGGCTGGTCATTGGGGGAGACACACTGCAAAGCAAGTGGCTTTGTGATGGGACTGAGCGTTATAGGTTCCATCTTCAACATCACCGCCATTGCAATAAACAGATACTGCTATGTATGCCACAGTTTTGCATACAATAAAGTGTATAGTTGGTGGAACACAATGCTCTATGTCTGCCTCATCTGGGTTCTGACAGTGGTCGCAACCGTACCAAACTTTTTTGTGGGCTCTCTCAAGTATGATCACAGGATCTATTCATGCACATTCACTCAAACAGCCAGCTCCTGTTACACCATTACTGTTGTCGTCATCCACTTCATTCTACCAATCACCATTGTGAGCTTCTGCTACCTGCGGATCTGGATTCTGGTGATACGAGTAAGGAAGAAAGTCAAATCAGAATTGAAGCTGAAGCTAAAACCAAGTGACTTCCGAAACTTTCTCACCATGTTTGTTGTCTTTGTGATCTTTGCTTTCTGCTGGGCACCTCTGAACTTAATAGGTCTGGCTGTGGCAATTAATCCTTCAGAAATAGCGCCCAAAATTCCTGAGTGGTTGTTCGTTGTGAGCTACTTCATGGCCTACTTCAACAGTTGCCTTAATGCAATAATATATGGACTTCTGAACCAAAATTTCCGGAAGGAATATAAACAAATCCTAATGTCACTGTGGACACCCGCGCTGTTTTTTCAGAACACTTCCAAAGCAGGGGACAGAAATTCAGACGAGCAAACCTTCACCTGCTTTAAATAATAATGACCAAACCCATACCAATACCTTGTAAATAGATGAATGTGAATTATAAAAGTGTGTCATTGCGTGGAAACAAACCAAGTTGTTTGTAAGTTTGTATGCTTAAATTTTGTTCCCCCAGTTCTGGACTTTCCATTTAAATGGCACATCACAATAACACGGAATTGTGTTCTTGACAAGGAAGATTCTGTTTACATCTTTATAACTGATTCACTAGGAACAATTTTAAAAATGGCTTTGGAGTTTGGAAAGGACAGGTGAATAAATCATCAGTTTGTTTGTTTGTTTGTAGTTCAAAAACCTATCTTGGACTTGGATGTATAGACAGGACCAACCAGTATCTTCTTTGAGTTTGTCCAAAATATGACTCTTAAGGACTGGAATGTGTCTCTAAGGAAAGAGGATTGGATGCAGTTTAATGACATTCTTTTTCTCTTTCATGGTGGTTGTGGTGATTATTTAAACTCCCTTCAGCTGAATGCTGGTTCCATCTACGTAGTGCTAAAAGAGTAAAATAAGAGTAGTAATCCCTATTCCTCGGAGTTGGCTTAACTGAATGGTCAGATCAAGATAAGGTTCATTGTTGCTTTGTGCATTGTCAGAATTATAATCAAAATGATGGTATTACAGCCAGGAAGATGCAACTGAAACCAAATTCAGATTGACCTTTCTCACCCCATCCCCAAACTCTAGTTACTCCATACATAATTGCCCATAAGTGAGTTGGGCAGTGGCTTCCTTGGTGTCCTCCAACAAAATCATAGCCCTCCCACAAAACAATCAAGGGGATCCCTGTCTGCCCCCATAAGTCTTGTTCCAGAATTGCTGTAAGCTTGCTGTGATGGGAAATCCAAGGAAATTATAAACACCGGTCCTGAGAATACTTGGATGTTTACAACTCTTGCTGTGTTTGTATGTGCTCCGTAGGAGGGCCATCCCCTTTCCTAAATGGGTGTGCTATAAATGCTTCCATGAGTATCTTAAGTCCTCCTAAGTTAGTAATCATTGCAACCCCTTATAGACTTTTTTCATGAAACAGAAAAACATGAACTGATGATTTGTGGTTTGGATGATTAGAAAAAAATCCTAGATAACAGAAGAAGAGAGAGCTTTTCTTTTTGTAACCATAGAGTAAGAGATAACTTTGCAATCATACTTGTATTTGCTGCAAAAAAAATCAGAAGCTTCTTCTTTATATTTCTTTTTATCTTTTCTTTTTGCACTTTTGATTTCTGTCTTTCTCTTTTCTTTTCTTCTTTATATTAGTTTTGGTTAGTTTTTATCTTCTTTTTAGAACTTTTAATACAATTTATATAAAAACATTACATTAGTAATCATTGCAGACAGAGGGAAGGCTTTGCTATAAAAATATATAAGAGAATTTGTTTTTGCACATCAGGAGACTCAATGCCTTCCACCTGTCAGAATGAAATGCAACCTTTGTGCTGATCAAAAGGAAGTAAAGGAATTGAAATGTTAGAGCTCCATAAATGAAATGTGTTCCTGTTCTTACAACAAGATAAAAGTACTGTATTTTTCCATGTATAAGACGACCCCATGTATAAGATGACCCCCACTTTTCCAACCCAAAATTAAGAAATTAATATTTTAAAG